CTTCTCCTCCTTCTCCTCTTTCTCCTTCTCCTTCTTCTTTTTTTTCTTTTTGAGGTAAGGTCTTGCTACATATCCTAGCCTGGCCTCAAACTCATGGCCATCCTTGTGTCTTAGACTCTCAAGTGCTGGGACTACAGGTGTGCACCACCACGCTCAGCTTGGAAGGCTTCTTTGATGAGTGTCTTTAGTTGTACTGTGGTGGCTGCCTCCATGTTTTGAATTGATTAAAAATATTTACATTTAGTGGTCATTCTGACACTGGGAAAGAGCCAGAAGTTGCACGGTGCCAGATCTGGTGAATAAGGTGGCTGAGGATACACCATGATGTCTTTAGGAGCCCACTTTTCCATTGGATGTTATATGGTACCACCATTCACCAGAGTTTTGAGCGCATCTCATAGAGATATTCACGAAAGACTTCCAGAGCTGCTTTAGTAAATGGCAAGAACAATGGAGTGAGTGTGCTTGAAACAAGGCGGAGTATTTTCAGGGAGATTAATGGCAGTGTGTCTTTCACTGTAATAATATTTTTAATTTAAATATTCATTATCTATTTTGATTGTGTCTGATAGCCATTCTTTATTCTTTCTTGTTGTTTCTCATTTGCAAATTGTATGCAGGAAAAATTTCTCTTCAGCATTTATCAGGGACTTGGATGGAATATCTCTTAACTTCTTTAGATTTCCCTTTGCAAACTAAGCTTCTAATTTGGAGATAAATCCTACCCAATAATGGTTTATTTTAAGACACTGCTAGAATTAAATAAGCTAGTATTTTGTTTCTTACATTTGTGGCTATGTTTATGATTCTCACTGGCCCATGGCTTTTTGTCTGCTCAGGTTGTCAAATTCTATTACCAAGACTGTGCTGGCCTTGTGAGACAAAGTGGCGGGCTTCTTCCATATTTCTGTGCTCTGAGAAAGAGACAACTCAAGAAATCCCAAGTTGTTTAGTGACAAACACTGTAAAGGACAAATTCACAAATGTTCTTGATCATAAGGCTCTTGCTTCAAGTGTTATGGACAGCAGGGCGGGTATAGTGACACAAACCTAAAGTTTTAGCACTCTAGGAAACTGGGGCAGGAGAACTGCAAGTTCAAGTGTAGCGTGGGCAACTTAGTGACCCAGGAAGATCTCATCTCAAAATAATAGATATAAAAGGGCTGGAGTGTAGCATAATGCAGTAGCCCTAGGTTTAATCCCAAGTACTGGAGAGGAGGGATGGAAGGTAGGGCCTCTTTTTAGACTGATATCATCTTGTACCAGACATATGTGTTTGAAATCTAAAATATTTATTTGAAATATCTATTTTTGCAACTCTGCATTTTGAGATAATTTAAGCTTAGCATAAGTGAACAAATAACACAAGGAACTCCCATATATACTTTTTTACATAGGTTCCCTGACAGGTACCATTTTGCTGGGTTTGCTTTATCATTTCCATTCTCTATCTATACATGTATAGATGTCTCATTCTTTATATATCTTTATGTTTGTTTATAGATAGTGCAATAGAAAATAATGGAAGTATATACTGATAAATATATATATATCTGTATATATATGAAACTACAAGTATGTTACAAATGATTTTATTAAAGCATGTAAATATAGCTTTTCAAATATTAAATACTGAATGCACTGATAACCTTTTTGTTTTGTTTTGTTTTTTTGAGGCAGGGTCTCACTATGCAGTTCAGGCTGACCTTGAACTCACTATGTAGCTAAGGCTGGCCCCAAACTCATGTTGATCCTGCCTCAGCCTCCTGAGTGCTGGGTTACAGGTGTGCACCTCTATGACCAGCTTGATAACTTTTTTTTTAAAAAAACATTTGACCTTTAAAATTTATTTATATCCCTTTGTACATTCTGTATTTATCTATGTACATTTCAGGCTACCTATCCAACTGTCTATCATTCCACCCAGATAATATAAACTGATTATAGGCCAACAGTAAGTAAGAAAAAGAAGAAAAATCCTATAACCTAGTGATACTTTTAAAACTGCAAATGTGCATATAAATTATACTATACAAGTTATATGTATAGATTATATATCTTAAAAAGGATAATATATTTTATTTTTGTGATCTCTTTTTAGTCAAGTTGCTATGTACATCTTTTCATGTCAATAAAAAATAGACCTTGGGGCTGGAGATTTAGCGCAGTGGCACAGCACCTGCCTAGCAAGTGTGAGGTTGTGAGTTCGATTCCCGGTACCGGAAATTAAAAAAAATAGACCTGTACCTTCATTTGCCATGATGGCTTTGTGCAGATTTACTGTATCTGATCACTGCCTGTATTGTCATTTAGGTTATTTCCAATTTTTCTTCCCCCTAAGCCACTCAGAACATGAGATTTGAAGCCTCAAGAGCTGAACTTGAATCCTCATTCCATTTCATTCATCCCTTTGTCACTTAGGGCCAGTTGCTATTCTCTTTTAGTTTAATTTTTCCCATCCTTAAAATGGGGCTAAGAATATTCTTATCAAAGCGTTTTTGTGATGACTAAAGGAGATAACCTGAG